TTCAAAAAGAAACGGTGTGACATGACAGAGTGGCCCCCTTACCTAAAGGATGATGCYGTCACTCGGTCAGTTCACACTGTTTGATTTTGCACCAAATCACAGAGCACCACTGGACACGATTCCACACATCTATGTCTGCTACTGCCTGGCTTCTTCATTAGAACTTGTGCTCTGGGAGCATAGAGTATAGTGCAGTGAGGGCTCAAAGTAGGTGTTCAATTAAAACAAATCATGGAGTTGAATGAGCAATGAATGAAAAACTAGGGAACAGCAAGGATTGGGGGGGCATTTCTCTGGATTTGAACCCATAGTTTATGAATATAGTTCCTGATGCCCTTTTTTGGCTTCCCCCCACTTTGGAAGTCTCTCTCACCTGAGTCCTGGAGGTCATTCTTGCTCTATATTTGGGACTTATGAGGTGAAGTCACTCTTAGCCAAATTCTCAACTTCCTGTGCATCCTCTGAGCCCTGAACCCAGAAGGGCAGCTCCATTTCTCTTTGCTCTTCAAGGTTCCACAGGATCCCAGAACTCAGAAATTGCTAAACGTCGCCTTTTCTGGTCCCTTGGCATCATCTTTGGTTTAAACCTGGTGGTTGGGCATTATTGCCAGTTACTAATAATGAACCYCCATGGAGCGCTGTCACCCAGGTCAGAGTTGGCAACAGAGTTRGGCAGATGGGTTCTAACCCTAGCTTGGTCTTTTACTATGTGGTGTTATTCAAGTGACTCGCTTTCTTTGTGTTCCCATTCCCTTAACCATGGGAAAGAGGAAGAATGATAAGACTTTCCCCAAAAGGTTGGGAAAACAATCGAAGTGGTGGCCATATGGGTAGGAAGGAAGGAAGGAAGGAAGGAAGGAAGGAAGGAAGGAAGGAAGGAAGGAAGGAAGGAAGGAAGGGAGGGAGGGAGGGTTTCCTGCAGGTGTAGCAATTCCTTCCAATCCTCCAGGCCTGGTCTACAGCATGTCCAGTGAAGGGTATGGAGAATTGTCTCTAATACCAAAGCCCACATGATCTCTTATTTTAAGCAGTGTGTGTGTATATGTGCTTGATTGCATGTGTGTTTGTATGTGTATGCATGTATGTGTGTGTGAAGGTGTGTATGTGTGTGAGTGTGCACGTGCATGCATGTGGGTTTGAATGCTTGTGTTCATGAATATGTGTGCAAATGCATGTGTGTATATGTGTGTATAGGGTTTTGTGTGTATGTTCATGAGTGTGTATATGTACTTGTGTGTGTATTTGTGTTTATGTGTGGGCATGTGTTTGTATGTGTGTGTATATGTGCATATATTCTGTGTGTGTATGTGTGTGTGTGTGTGTGTTGGAGGTAACTTTCTCAGCCTCCTCATTCTCCTTGTCTTTTTTTTGTTGTCGTTGTTGTTACTAGAGATTTAACCCAGGAGTGCTGAGTGTGACCACTGAGTCACATCCCCACCTCTTTTTTGTTTTAATTTTGAGATAGGGCCTCATTAAATTGCTGTGGGTGGCCTCAAACTTACAATCCTCCTGCCTCAGCCTCCTGAGCCGCTGGGATTACAGATGTGCACCACTGTGCCCGGCAGTTCTCCTAGTCTTTACATAAYTAATGCAGAAGGTAGATTGGTGCCACACAACAGGGACCTGCTGGAAACCAGCCTCAGGTACAGGGAAGAATCCCTCCATGCTCAGCGACTTCCTCCCTTCCTCCCTCCCTTCTTTCCTCCCTTCTTGCATTTTTCATTCATGGTTAATGGATAACCCCTTAGAGCAGGCACCAGTCTCTCCACCTTGGGCTCCTGTGTGCACGAGTAGCTCACAGGCCCTTCCACGGGGCACACACRCCACTCTACCTTGCCCCGTATCACTGAGCCCCTGCCATCGCCCCTTGCTCAGCACCCAGCCCTGCCAGATGAGCAACCCAACTTCAGACTCTGTTCTGTGGGAAAGAGGGACCATTATGGATTTTAGGCAGAGGGGTGACTTCAAAGGATGAATTGGGGAGGAAACGGGCCTGAAACAAGAGGCRGAAAGAGGGACTAGTCCCTGTTTCCAATTCTGGTTCTCTCCTTTYGCAGATGGGCAACCTCAGAGAAGGCACCTAATCTTTCAGACTCTGTTTCCTAATTTTTAAAATGGAAGGTAACAACCTTATCTTGATTATTACCTGAATAAAATGAGAAGATGAACCAGGAGTGAGGAGTTGCTCCTCGAGGAAGTTATTCATTCCCCCTTCCTTTTGTGACACTGCATAGATGTATCCAGCATGAGGCACGAGAATGGGGCCTCACTGTGGTTCAGGGGACAGTAAAATGGCTTTATTATAGCTGTCCCTTTCCTTACAGGATTCGATCAGGGCAGGGAATCCTCTTGTCCACTTATCATTTGAGACGTCCTCCCCGAGGGTGCTGCCCAATCAGAAAGAGCCCGGGAGAGCAGCTGACGAGCAAGGAGAAGCTGGATCCTCCGAACCCAGCAATTCCACAGCCACAAATTCTAGCTGCAGCCCTGTTCTCGGTCTGCCCCACCTGCCCGCCTATAATTAAGGTCGTGTCTACAGTCATACAGATTATAAGGAAAGAGGAGAAGAATGTCATCAAGTCATAATTTCCAGAATCAAAGCTCCTTTCATTCCCCATGTTCCCCTCCTTCTCCATTTGGACTTGGCAGCAGGTTTCCTAAAAAGTAGGCCACGGTGTCCTTTCCTACAGCTCATTACAAGTGGGCAAGGAGGGCCTGCTGCGGCTGCCAGGCCTCCGTCCCCGTCCCCTCCACAGTGGAAGGCGGCGCTTCCTGGATGTACACCTCCGGCCAGGAGGCAAACATTTGTCATGGAAGCATTTTTTTGCTTCTTTCTAAACAAGAGGTTATAATAAAATAAAGAATTGTTTGCAAATGTTTGCAGATCCAACCCAATTTTATTCTTAATTGTACAGTGCGTGTGTGCTGATGCAGTTTGGGTGTAGGAAATTGTTGCAGATGTCAAATTGGAAAAAATTCTTTTATTTTGGGGTCTTGGGAGTTTGAACATGGCATTGGAACTGTCAGTCTCAGCCTTTTTGTTACAGAGTTCATGAAAGGAGAATGTTGGAGAGGGGGAGAGAGAGAGAGAGAGAAATACCACTTAAAAGTAGTTGGTGTRGATGGCGAYTCCATTGTTAACATTATTTTGATTGAAATTGTCAGAGGCCCAACCTGGCAGTCTGTGAAGGTACAACCGTTTCCTTGGGGGAGGACACTCCAGTCAAGGGAGAGATGGGCAGTGGGTCAAGAAAGTAGTCACTCGGGGGGTCCTGGGGCTGACCAGACACCTCACTGACCAACGAGGGATTTTGTTGTGTGGTCACTAAACTTGAGATGCATTTTTTTTGGAAATMGTTTGGATAAAGGCTCAGGCTTAAAAGTTATAGAGCAAATTTTAGAGAAATCTGGATGGCGAGTAGATATTACCAGAATTGGGAAAGGTTCATTACTGAATTGTTCAGCCAGCCCCAGAATTGTTGGCCGGCGTCTAGCCATGTCCACTCTGGATGGTTGCTAGAGGTTTCCCAAAGGAGAGAACTCAAGGGTGTCTGCTTTGGAGATAAGCAAGGACCGAAATGGCTCCTGTATTGCATGGCCCAAACCAAGGGTCCCCAAGAGCTGGTCGGCATGCTTCCTGTGTTTTGTGGGGTCCCCAGTCCCACCTGAGGAGAGCTTTCCTGTTGCTGGCTCTTGGACATCATCTCCTTTTCTCCTCCTCCTCCTCCTCCTCCTCTTCCTTCTGCTGACTCTCCTTTGCCTTCTCTTCCTCCTCCTCCTCCTCTCTTCTACTTGTCCTAAAAAAGATACTCACTTTGTGATTAATTCCTGCTAAGCCCTCTTACATGTATCATCTTATTTTATCCTCCCAAAGCCTTCACCCCCACCCTCCCATTTTTGGAGATTAGAGAACCTCAAAGGGACCTGCCAAGGGGACCTAACCAGGGAAAGTACCCAGGGCTCTGAAGCTGAAGCTTTTGCTTCATGACGTCGGTAGCCCTGCCAGCTGTCCTTCCCGCCCCCAGGGCTCTTCCTGTCCTGCTGCCCCACAGCTGTCAGCAGTGGGTTTGGGTCCTGAATGCCTTGGCTGGTCATCAGACACGGAGCTGGCTCACGAGTTCTGTGGGAGAGGAGGTTTATTTATTGATTTTTAAAATTAGGATAAAGTTCTCTTGTGTCCTCTTTATTTCTATCTAAACAGTCCTGTGAAAGGTACAGTTTTGAGCTAATTAGTCCTCTGGTGGGAGCTCCCAAGGAGAATATTCTGGAGCAGCATCTGAGCCTCTGATGATTCCCTGGTCAGCACAGCTGGGCTGTGATGTTAACCAGAACCACCAGAGCTCAGATTCTCCCCACCTAACCCATAGGGGAAGGTTGGGGAGGTGCCTGGGACAGAGCCCACATTTGAGCTGATCTCTTCCAGGCCTTGCTGGGGGGCGGGTAGAGAGTTGCCCTTACATAAGCTTTCTCAGTATCAGGGTGTATTTTAGGCCAGGGGTTGGCAGGCTGAGGATTCTGCCTGCCAGGAAGGAGAAGGGCAGATTGGCTGAGCTAGGTTCTGTAGAGGTCTTATGGCAAGAATGGTCCTACGACCCCAGGTTCTGCATGGGCCCATGGCCTTGCCCCTCTTGCCCAACAGCATGATTTCCAGCCACCCCAGGTAGAGCTAAGTTGCTGCATGATTTTCCTTCATGAGTGGAGAGAACACATGGGTTCTCCTTTATTTTTTCCAGTGCTCTGATTTGCAAGCATTTGAGCCATGTGCTGTGGTACAAATATGTGCATGTGCATGTGCATGTGTCCATCTCTATTTGCTCAGTGGACAGGACGGCAAAGTTTCTTCCCAGAAGTTGGAGTAAAATGGGAAGAAGCTGTAAGACAAAGGGACAGGAAGGATGTGGGGTGGCTTATCAAGATATACATGTAAGAGTTTTGTTATTTATTTTCTTCTTTGTATATTTTGTATTTATGTTTTGATTTTCCCCCCCTTAATAATGGAGACCACTCAGACTGTGTTCTCTCGCTCTTAATCTCTAAAGAGAATTAAGAACGATCATCAATGGCAAAAGGCAGTTGTAGAAATGCAACACCTAGGACCAACTTCATGCTCAGGAGAGAACACTCAAATCCTCCTCGTGGTTTCTGGTACTTGACACGATCAGAGAAACTTCTCTAGTAACATACTGTAGAAAGGACCCCTGAAAATATAGTCTTTGTTGTTTTGATTTTTTTTTTTAACCACGAATAAGTGATTCTTTTGCCAACACACTAGCACCAAAAAGGTTGACTAATAGTGAAGAAAATGTTGAGATACCAGTTTCCTGACTCTATTCCAAGCGTTTCTCAATCTTAGATGCATATTAGAATTACCCAGAGAGCTTTAAAAATATCGATGAAGGGGCCCCATCCCTAGAGACCCTGTTTCTTTGCCTAGGTTGTAGACCACACATGATATTTAAAAGCTACACAGATGGTGCCAAGGTTCAGCTACGTTTGAGAAATGTTGGTGTATATGACTTGATATTTGGGTGCTGGCAGAAAGATCGAAGGCCAAGTTCAGATGATGCCATCTGTAATTATCACAATAACCTAAATGGCTCATCCTTGAGTACTCTTGTGCCTGGTGCCATGTGAGGTGCTTTGCCTCCATCATCTCATCCAAACCTTMAACAAGGTGTATCTGAATCACCTGAAGGGTTGTTGAAACACAGGCAGCTAGTACCCACCTCCAGAGTTTCAAATGCAGTGGTGTGGTTCACAGTCTCTAAGATGGTCCTCCATAAGTTGGTCCCCTTGTGTAATCCCCTCCCTGTGGGTGTCCACTGGCTTTTTGATGTGTTTCTAAAGAACACAGCAAACAGGATGGGATGTCACTTCAGAAACTAAGATAAAAAAATGCTTGACTTCTCTCCTGGGCCCATTCTCTTGCTCTCCATTGGAACACTTGCCCTGGGAGAAGCCCTTGCTCTGTTCTGAGGCAGCCCCACGGAGAGGCCCACATGGCCAGGAATGGAGGTAAGCCCCTGGCCCCAGGAGTGAGCTTGGTGGCAGACCCATCCCCAGCTGGGTCTTCACAGGAGCCCACAGCCCCTTCTGACAACTTGACTGCAATCTCACCAGACACCCGGGGCCAGAGGCATGGAGATACATGGTGTCTGCATTTCTGACACAGAAACTGCGAGATGTTACCTGTTCCTTGTTTATAGTTGCTTAGATTGGGATTCTTTTGTTACAAAACCATAGATACTACAGTTGATCAGGGGTAGGGCCTGAGAATCTGAATCCTAACAGGCTTCTGGGTGGTGCTCATGAGCCTGCTCAAAACCATGCCTTAGCTCARCACTAAGAAGCTGAAATCTTGTTACTTTAACAAGTTTTAAGTAACTTTCTCAAGGTCACCTGCAGGAGGGTAGTGCTGGGATTCAAACACAGGCAATCTGGGCCCCAGAGGGCAGGCTCATAACCACGTGGCCCTGCTGCGTCTCCTCACTGTGGCGCGTGTCCCTTGCCTCCTGTGTCAAATTATACTGATTGAATTTGCTGGTGAAGTTGGCCAGGGAGGGATTTTGATCTCAAACTTTATTGGGGGACTATAATTAAAGTGACTTTCCTCCATGAAATAAGTGCTCCCTCCACAGTGGAATGAACCCCAGGGACTGTTTACCTTTGGGTTACTGTGGTTCTGAAACCTCAGCAGGCATTGGGATTACTTGGAAGACTTATTAAAATGCAGATGGATGGGTCCATCTTCAGTGCTGCCGATGGAGCAGGTCTGGGRTAGAATCTGAGAATTTGTGTTTTTTTATAATTTCCAAGTCAAGGCTCTTGTTTTGGGTCCAGGGACCACACTTAGAGCACTGCTTGTGTGATGCTTACTGTATTTCAGGAGTGCTGTTTTGGGTGAATCCTCCAGAGTTGATTAGTGTGGAGTGAATCACAGGCAAATGGAAGAGACTGGTGCTCTCCCCCAGTGCACATTTCCACCCGCCTGCCTTTCTTCTGGGACATATGGTTGGAGGACCCATGCGGCTGGGCTCTTTCTGCACGTCCCATGCATTCCAGGGTGAGCTCAGATTCCATTCTAATTACGGAGGGCAGAGTGTGGTCACAAGCAGCCCACAGCGCTGCTTTGTGGGAGGTGTTGCTGTTTGGGTTAGGTCTTGAGAAACTGACATGGGCACACTGACAAGCAGCTGCTTGGGCATGTCTAGCCATATTATCTGTTGCTGAGCAGAACAAAGCCGGGGCAGAGACTGGCCAGGTAGAGGTGGTGAATGGCTGCACGTTAAGCCAAGACTCACTTTTCTTTTTTTTTAATAAGAAAGCCAAGCCAAACTATGAGAGGACTGTTTTGCATTTGGAAGGCCAAGCAGAATTTCCCTTGCCAATGGGATATGCATGTATGYTGTTGTTGTTGTTTCTCTTCTCTCCTATTTTCTTCCTCTTTTATTATCCCCTTCACTTAACTGGCAGCTCAGTAGCCAAATCCAGCCAGGGCCAGGATGGGGGCCAGGGTACTGGAAGGTGGTGCCAGAGCCTTGGACACACTGGAGTTTGGAGTAGTTCAAGGCCTGGGGTGAGGAAGATCTCTACCTTCATTTGCACCAGAAATGAATGTGTCCAGAACCTCAGCCCCTGGACTAACCGGGAGCTATCAACAGGTCATTTGCCCATTTGCAGTATATCAACATCTCCAGGAGACCCACAGTGSATAGTAAGCTCTAAGTGGACAGTTTTGGAATGATCTTTCCCAAATACCTATCTGAACGTCTGTGGCTCTTAACAGACCCTCTGTCATGTGGTTTGGGAGAGAGATTTATTTACAACTTTTCATCCTCTTTGTGCCCTGCTATTCTTCCCAGAAGGCAAAAATAGTTTTCCTGCCTCTTTAATGGTAGAGCTATCATGTGACTTGCTTGAAACTTATAGAGACATTATAAGTTTCTTTCATCTCTCTTATTTTGTCCCTCTACCATGATATCTGGACGTTCCAACCAGATACAGTTTGCACCTTCAGCCCGGTCCCCATAATAAGCAGATCCACGATTCCCTCACAGCTTGGGGCAGAGTCTTGGAGCCACAGGCTACTTGCAGCTGCTGTGAATGACAAATAAAGATTTGTTCTGCCAACTAAGATCTGAGGGTTATTTATTACACAGCAGGCCCTACAAGCTGACTATCAGAGGCAGAGCCAAATCCTTGTCTAAATCTATTCCCTGATTTCCCAAAGAGCAAGTTCTTTGTTTCCTTAATTCAGAAACATTAACCAGAATGACCACTGACAAATGTGACCTAAATATAAAAAAAATAAATATTTWAAGAGAAAATATAGGAGAATATATACAGGATCTAGCAGTAGGAAAAGTTTTCATGAATAAAACAATGTTGATAAACTGAGTCCAGTGAAATTAGAACTTTGGTATAACAAAGGTCACATAATTACAAAAAGGAGGAGGCTTATTGAGGGTGAAARGGTTTCTTGTGTTCAGAGCAGCAGAGGATTTTATATAATGAAATCAGAATTCACAATGAGTTCCTGCAAATCAGTAAGAAGAAGACAGATAAGGCAAGAGGAAAAAGGATGAGGCTATTGTCAGAAGTTCATGAAAGAGGTAACAAGAATAGGAAAATAACATGTTTAACATCTCAAGTAAATACATGSATATGCACCAAATGACAACTGTTGGAACTGCAAAATCTAAAAAGTCTTACATACTGAGTATTGGTGAGAATGTTCTCTGGGCCACTGTAAGAATGCCCATGACCCAAACCTTGATCTTGAGGGATTTTCCATCCAGTGGAGAAAGCAGATTTGTGAAGATATGATTGCAAATCTCATGATCATGTAGCAATGGAGCATCTTCAGAGTAAGTGGATCTGAAGAGGAATCTTGACTCACTAAGCCTAAGGAAGTCAAAGAAGGCTTCACAGAGGAGAAACACAAATAGGGTAAAGGTAATTTCAGAAAGAGGGAGACCTGGGCAAAAGCACTGGGGATCAGAATAGATGGGTTAGATTAGGGAAAATGGCATGATATTGAAAAAATGCATAATAATGGCATTGACACAAAATAACTGATCCTATAGCATGGAGAAGTGAGTCAGTAATAGAGAGGACTGGTGGYAAATGTCTTCCATAATTTGGGGCCAAAAGACAAAAGAGATAAACATCCTCTGAGAGAAGATCATAACCRGGGAGGAAATCTAACAATCTGTAACAGACAGTGGGGGAAAAGAGATCAGAATGTGTGCAATAGAAATGAGAATCAAGTGGTTTGATTTAGCCACTCCACACTGTAGACATACCTCAAAATATCATGCTGCACGTTGCAAATATATGCAGTGTTTGCATGACCTTGAATTGCCTCTCCGAGCCTCCTTACGTGGAGATGGRGATCATATGGTCGTTCTTGCAGCAGGCTTGAGAAGGACTGTGGAGAGAGCCTTGGCGATAGGGATCTATCCTTAAGATATCCCAGGCGAGGGAGTTAAGGACACAGGCTACTCCCCTCTCAGGCCTCCTGGAGGATGCTCAAGGATCTTAGTACGGGGACAAAGTTGGAGCTCTATTGACCAGCTCTAGCACCTCCCAGGGGATGGAGCTGACCCCCCATTAAAATAAATTTAAAAAGATAAAATGAAAGAAATATTGAGGTGAAACAATATTAGAAAGCTTCTAATTTGCAAATACCAGAGAACAATAGTAAAAAACAAAAAACAAACAAACAAACAAAAAACCCCATGATACTAAAACCCCAAAACCAACCAACCAACGAAACCAAGGAAAACAACTAAAACTTGGGCATATGTTGCTATTTCAACAAAGATTCAAGACTCTTCTTCTAATTAGTAAATTTATTTTTACTTTTTTGAATTATAAAGTTAATGTATATTTATTCATGAAAATTAGGGAAATGTACAATAAAAATAAATTACATGGTACTGGTAATATTACTAACAAGAAGTAGAAGTACTATTTTTTGCTATGTTCTTTCAGTATTTCTCTATGTTAYTTTCCCATATAAAATAGAGATTATATTGTGTGCATGTATATATGTACATACATGTTCAAGGAGGTCTATATGCATGCACATGTGCATATGCAAGTGTATAATGCACATGTAAATATGTACTTGTATAAATAGTTCATTTTTTTACTTCATTTTTAGATGTGTATAGAAAGACAGACCAAAGGAACAGCATAGAAAAATAGGC